TTCCCTTCTCTCTCTCTCTTTCTCTGGTGAGTGCATATGCCCTGCAGCAAATTTTAAAAACAACAATTAATAAATTCTTTAAAAAATTTTTAAAAAGACACTCTGAATGGACCTCACATGGGAAGCCTCTAGGTTCTTGTGTAGAGACCTCCCTGAATACGCCAGGCATGTACAAGCCAGTGATCCATGGGCTGGCTAAAGCTAGGGTAGAGTACGGTTCCAGGACCCTGATAAGGGTGCTCTCTCTGGATCTTTGTCTCTTTCACTCATGAAAGAAAAAAATTAATAAAATGTTTAAAGTGGCAAATTTTCTTTCTGGTTTTTGTTTGTTTGTTTGTTTGGTATTTTTTTGTGAGAGGTTTTTGCTATAGGGAGCGTGCGCTCGCCAGAAAGACAGAGAGAGACAGAGAGACAGAAAGTGAGAAATCACCCCCCAGGTGGATGGCCATGCCACAATCCCTTCTCTTCCATTCTCCTCTTGGGATCTTGGGCACGCACGTGCGCACGCCTGGTGTGAGTTTAAGCCACCAGGTCCAGGACTCGAACCGCAGTGGACTATGTGGGAGTCCAGTGACATAACCATTACGCTAACTGCTGGTTCCTAAAATGGCAATTTTTCTGTTATATATATGTTTTACAATTTTAACAGTTAATAACATAACAAAAACATATAGCACTGAATTATCAAATATGTGAATCATATCTCAATAAAGCTGGTTGGGGCAGGGGAAGGGGGGACAGACTGGGCTTGTTAAGCTAAAGACTTAAACCTGAATAAACTGTAACTGCTGGGTCTGGCTCTGGGGCCTGGTGGTTAAGGCAACCACATCCCATATGGCCAATCCTATGGTTTGAGTCCCAGATCTGGTGGCTTGAGAAACATACCAGGCTTGTATGCCTATGTGCCCAAATTCTCCACAGGAAGGAGAGATAGAGGAGGAAAGATTGTAGTGTGACTATTCCACAGGGAGGGGGGGTGCTTTCTTTCTCTGTCTCTGTCTGGCAAGCACATGCTGGGGGGCCGGGAGGGGTGATATGTAACTATAGATCAGGCTGGAAAAGTGAACAGCAGGGAAATCAGTATTGTAATCAGCCCTGCACATACTCACACAGGTCACTGGAACTGTCCTACTCTTCTCAAAATCCTGGGAGGAGGAGGAAACATGAGTGTCTATCTACCACAGATTGCTGGAGACTGTGCTTGGGAAATACATACATGAACTTCCTGTTCTGAAGGCATAATGGTTCACATAGGCAGCCAGTTTTTTGGTCTGTTTCAGTACATGTTATTATAGAAAAAGTTAAACAATCTAGAAATGTAGACATGAAAGTATAGCCACCCAACTTCAATCATTATCAATCCATGGCCAGGTTTGTTTCATCGTATCCCATATGTTTTCTCCCATGTGTATTAATTTGAAGCAGATTCTAGACATGGTATATTATTTCTTTGGTAAATATTTCAATATGCCTCTATAAAGGATTAGAACATCTTTAAACATACACATACAATACCAAGACCACAATTTAAAAATGATTAAGTCCTGGGCCAACTTAGTGGCTAAGGCACCTAGATCCCACATGGCCAACTGTGCAGTTCAAGTTCCAAACTTGAAAACCTGCCTGATGGCTTTAAAAACATGCTAGGCGCATGTGCCTGAGAGGGAAATGGAGAAGGGATTGTGGTGTGGCCATTGCCCTTGGGAGGGGAATGCTTTCTCACTTCCCCTCTCTATCTCTCTGTTAAGTACACATGCCCTGTAGCAAATTGAAAAAAAAAAATAAATCCCGCGTCCATCAATATAAATTAATCA